TGTAGTATATTGAAAAACTTAAAAGTGCTCTCAGTAGTTCCCATTCACATTATTGAGTTAAAGTTAAATAACTAGCTAAACAATATGGGAGGTTTCTTTTTGTTTGTTACTGGATTTTTTTCTAGTTGTTCTGTAACCTGCTTTACCTTGTTATGATAAAGACACATACCTGCAACCTTTGTGTACAATTGCCGACACTGCTTTGGATGGTGTTATATTATCTGTCATTGTATCCAAAGCTGTATTTGCATCTGCTCTTAGGAATTTGTTTGTGTCCGCAGTACGACTGAATAATGCAGTAGACAAATCTTCTGCCTCCTGTTCAATAAAATAAAAGTTATATTATGTGCAAGGTTTTTTTAAGTATATCTTCATATCTGTATCAATTTTTTTATTTACCGCATCCATTCCTCGTTTCAAGATACAGAACAAATGGCTGGATGCCTGACATGCAGCCCTTGCCACTTGCGATCTCAAATTCTTCACCTGTTTTGCAAGAGACTCACTGCATGTGTGAAGCTGACCTTGTACTAGAGCAGGGTGGTGCCGTACAAGGCGCACCACTGTCTGCAGTGCTTGCATGGTCACCTCCCTGTAGGGGGCAAGCCAGAGCAGTGAGATAAGACAGATGCTGATCACGAGTAAGGTGCTGTGGGAACTAACGAACGCTTCACGACTGCTTCCTTTAACAGCCGAGCTTACCATTCAGTCGACTCTAACTGCTGCAAGCCTCTGTTCAAAGCCTCGCGTGGATTTTCAAAGCCAGGCAGCGTGTCGGCAAACAGGGACGCTGTTGAATTCCCCAGCGAAGAGCTCAGGCTGCCGTTGGCCAAACCCACAAGGCTAGCGGACCCGCCACTAGACGCCAGACTCCCTGGTGTGGTGGCCCGAGGTCTCCTCAGCCTGTCGGGAGTAGGGAGTTAGTCCTCACTTCTATCGGCTCCCCGTTCTCACCAGCCATACGGAACTCACGGAACTCTGACGCCCCTGCCCGGCCTCGCCGGCGCTCTGCTTCGCGTGGCGGCCGACTGCTGCTTTGGGGGTGGCGAGATGTCGACCCTCCGCACCACGCCGGGCTGTGCACTCGCCACGCACGGCGGAGACGCGTCCGGAGCCCGCCCCGAGCCCATGGGGTGGCTCTCGCCGTCGACGCCGTCCTCGCCCGCGCCGTCGACACTCTGCAAACACGTTAGTTCCCGCGCACGAGTGAGTGGTTATACGTCATTTCGTCACCCCTACAAGTAGTGGCCGCCGGGTCAGACGGGAACACGTCCTTCGGGCCTTACCTCCGTGAAGTCGGAGATGGTCGTGTCGGCGGGGAAGCCGTTGCTGAGGGCGAGGGCGCGCCCCGCGGGGTCGGCCAAGTCGGCCTGCCCCTGCCGGGCCTGCGAACAGCGTGCACCGCATTGATTGAAAACGCGCGCGCTTTTGGCCTGGCCCGGCACTCGGGCGGCCTCGCGCGAGGCTAGGGGGGAGAGGACGGGAGGG